GTCTCCAGGAAACTCCCAAAGTCCCTGGAGGCCCCCAGAAGACACCACAGTGCCACATGTGTCAATCATCTAGCCTGGCCCCTCGACGACGAGTACGGAGACGACAACGACGACAACAACGACGACAGTGGCGACGGTGGCGGCGGCGACGACGGACGACGACGACGACGACGACGACGACGGCGGTCACAGCGACGAAGACGACGAGACAGCGACGAACCTGTGGACCTCGACGACGACGACGACGACGACGACGACGACGACGAAGACGACGACGACGACGACGACGACGTCGGCGGCGGCGGCGGCGGCGGCGGCGGCGGCGACGACGACGACGACGACGACGACGAACGACGAACGACGAACGACGAACGACGACGACGACGACGACGACGACGACGACGACGACGACGACGACGACGACGACGTGGGTCAGAGTCCTCAGGGATTCTGTTTGGGGTCTCTTCGGAGCGCTCTCGGAGGCCTCTGGTGGGCAGTTTTGGGGGCCCCTCGGGAGCATCTTGGAGGCCTCTTGGGAGCCTCTTGGGGCTTCCTGGGGGCCTCCTGGGGGCCTCTTGGAGCCTCTTGGGGGCTTCTTGGGGGCCTCTCGGTGCCTCCTGGGAGCCTCTCGGGGAGGAGGGCTCGACGTGTCCGTTTAGTTCCCCTGTCTGGGCACCCTCTTGGATCCCTCTTGGGGGCCTCTTGGGCCGTCTTACAGGCGTCTTGGGCCGTTTTCGGGCCCTCTTTGGCCCGTTTCGGGGCCCTCTTGGTGTCCTCTTGGGGCAATCGTACATCTTGGGAAAGGCGAGAACGCCCAACTCCTTGAACAATTCAAAGAAAATCAATGAATGGGCTCTCTTGGGAGTGCTCTTTGAAGCCTCTTGGAGCGTCTTCCAGCCCTCTTGGACCGTCTGGAGGCGGTAAAGACGTCTTGGACCGATCTTTCGGCGATTCGGGGTTCTCTTGGACCGTCTTGGGGGCCTCTTGGGGCAATCATTTGCTCGTCTTGGATTTTTGTGGGCCCCGAGCCCCCCACAGGGGGAGTGGCATTCTGACCCAGGACCCCCCCCCCCGGGGACCCCCTCCGGGACCCCCCCCCTGGCAGGGAAGAGATCAAAGGGAAGGGGCTTCCCTTCGACTCAATTACGACGTTGCTCGATTTCGTTTCGGCTGGCGCGCTTGAGGAGGAGGGCCCAGGAAAAGGGGAGGGCTGCGACGGGCCCACCGAAGAGAGAGGGAGCGGCGACGGCGACGGCGACGACGACGCCGACGAAGGCGATTCAAACGGAACAACCTCTTCCACACGCCGACAGGGTCGGCGGATTTGGGGTCTTTGGAGGCGCCTTGGCCGCACTCAAGACAAGAAAGGCCGCGACAACAACAAGCACTTTCAAACACAAAAGGTTTCAATGCATCCTCTTGCGACTCTCTTCGGCCGTCCTTTAGTGCTCTCCAAGGCCGTATTGGCGGCTTTCTGGAACATATCGAAGCCATCTTGAGCCCTCGTATGTGTAGCTATGAAACAGTCTTTGACGCATGTTTCGGCGGTACGTGGATCTTTTGGAACCAGCTTGATCATCTTGGAGACCGTCGGATGCTTTACCGGGCGACGGGGGGGAGGGGATCAAACGCACATATTTTTGGACCTTGGGAGGGGCCACAGGTGGGAGAGCATCTCACACGCCTGGAGACCGACAAGGGGCCAGCGGACTCGACGTCGGGAGGGTGTGCCCTCCTCCTCGGCGGAAACTGGCGGAAGGCCGTCGGAAGGCGGCAGAAGTACAACGGGGCCGACTCTGCCTACGGAAGCCAGCACAAGTAAAAGATGCGCCCCCAAGAGATGTCAACATTTTTGGATCCAGGGTTTCCAGAGTCGGCCATTCTTGTATTCGATTCATCCTTCGTCGTTGCCGCCCTCCTCCTGTCCCTTCCTCCTCCCATTGCTGCTGGTCCTCGTCCCCGTAGCCAAGGTCTTGTAGGACACCCCACCTGGCGGACAGAAGAGGATTCAACACAATGAGAAGGGACGGGTGGGAAGGGCAGGATGCTAGATCTAACGCGAACGCATCCAGCTTGCCCCCCTCCCTCCTCCCCCCCCCTCCCTCCTTGCATCTTCTCCCCTCCTCCCCCAGGTGCCACGTGGTGCACCAGCCAAGCCCCGAAGCCGAGCATGCCTGCATGGTGGGCAGGGAAACGCCCAACCAGCCCATCACTAGGCAGGCGAAACACCAGCCCACGAACGAACTCAGCTCCTCCGCCGCCTCCTGCGCTTTCACCTCCTCATCCTCATCCTCCGACTCCTCCAACTTCTTCGTAGCCGTTTTGGCTCGAGCCATGTTGGCTCAAGCGTGGCTGAGGGGAGCTTCGAGCGCGCACTTGGAAGCGGCTCGTGCCCAAGAGCCCTGCGGGGGCGCGGCGCGGCGGGCGGAAGGAGCAGAAGCTGGCGGAGCGCGCGCGACGACGAGGAGGACTTCATCGCAGCTTTCTTGGCGAGCCCGCGTGCATGGCCGAGGAGGACTGTGAAGCTGCGGCCTTCGACTCCGAGGCGTGCTTCGAGGTCGAAGGCGTGGCCGACTCGAGCATGGACGACGGCGTGGTCGCCTCGCACCGGGTGGACGGCAAGGGCGGCTCCATGGTGGTCATCAGCACGGACGGCTCCCTCGAGGACGCCGGCCAGGGCGACCATCTCGGGGTCGAGGGCATGGGCGACTCCTTCAGGGCCGTCGGCGTGGGCGGCAGCCTCGGGGTCGTCGGCGCGGGCGGCTCCTTCGAGGTCGATGGCCAAGAGCGACGCTTGCGTGATTTGACGACCAGGACGTCTCCCTCGTGACTCAGGGGCGCGAGATTGCGGAGGCGCCCGCGGTGCCGCAGGCTGTCGGCCAGGAGGCCGTGAAGCGCGCGGAGATGTTAACGATGGGCACGACCCAGGAGCTCGAGACCTTGGGGGTTCCGACGGTGAGAAAGGTTGAGAGCCAGAAGCCGATGGGTGCGTTGAGACGCTGGCGCTGGGTTGCGTCGACAAGGGACGCCCACGTGTCGAAGGAGACCATGCAGCAGCGGAGGCGGAAACAGAAGAAGCGGAAGCAGGCGGCCGTGAAGGGCGCGGAGGTGATGACAATGAGCCGCACCGAGACGCCCGTCCGTGAGCCGAAGTTGTAGACCCAGGAGTTCGAGGCTGTGGAGGTGCCGAAGGTCGAGAGCCACGGGGTCGAGAAGTACGTGGAGATGCCGCAGGCCCTGAGGCTCACGCCGCAGACGGCCAGCCAGCTTGAGGAGGACTCCAGCTGGCAGCACCTGCGGGGAACGGCTGTGCACAAGAGGGACCTGCTCCTGGGAGGGCCGCTGCTGGGGGGGGGCACCTGTCAGATGGGCCCTCGGGCTCCTCGTCGCCGCGCCCTCTCTTTTTGGAGCATGTGTGTTGCCGCCGCTGCGGCAGGGCGCAGTGGCCGGACTACGCCCCATGGCCCGGTCCGACTCCCTCATCCGACTCCTCTCTCGCCAGCGCGCTCCTGCGTTTCCTGCTCTGTTTCCTCCTTCTGGTTATGGTCCTGATGCTCCTGGGGGCTCGTTTCGAGGGCCTTGTGGGCCCGTGGGGCCGTCCTGGGCCCTCTCTGGAGTTTTCTGGAGGGCCTCCTGGGCCGTCCTGGGCCCCCATGGGGCGTTCTGGACGGCCTCCTGTGCTGCCATGGTGCGATGTGTAGGCCGTCTGGGGCCCTCGTGGACGTTGCGAAGACGCGATTGGCTCTACTGATCTCATATTTTTGCGGAAGCCATGGCCTGGGGGGCTGCATGTTGGCCATCTTGGCGCGTCTTGAGGCAGCTCTGGGCCGCACTGGCCGCCGCGAGGGTTTGTTCGGGCGCATGTCTGGGGCCTTTGAGGTTTTCAAACCCCTTGCATCCTTATGATACGGATTGACTCTGCGCGTGTTGTCTGGGGACCGTCTTGGTGGCCTTGTGGGTCCTTTGGGGCCTTTTTGTGGCAATCCCATGGCTGTCTGGGCCGTCCGTGAGGCTCCTGCGGCCGAGTTGGGGGGCCGCCCGAAGGCCTCATTGGTTTTGTCTTGGGTGTCTCTTGCTGCCAATCTGGAGACCCTCCAGGCCCTCTCCTGGACCGCGGGGGGCACCCAGTGGGCCGTTCTGGCCCGCGCCGGGGGCCATCTCAGGGCTTCTCGGGGCCGTCTGGGGACGTGAGGCCGTCGTGGACCGATTTCAAAGTCACCTGGGGCCGTCGTAGACGCCCGAAGGGGCAGAACAGGCGAGCGCGTCAAAGTCGTGCCAAAACCATCTGAGTATGCTTTTCTGTTTGGAGACCCTGGGGGTCCTAGGCCGTCTTGTTGGCCTTCTAGGCCGTCTTGTTGGCCGTCTGGGCCGTTCTGTTGGCCTTCTGGGCCGCCCGCCCTGGCCCGCCCTAGGGCCATTTAGCAATTCTCTCGTGTTGTTGCCTTGGAGCAGTGTTTCGCCGTCTTGGGCGCATCTTAGGTCGATTGGGGGATATGACGCGATTGTACTACAGGTGGTCAGCTGATATGGCCCAGCCGGCTGGGGCGGGTTAGGGGGCAATGACATTATGTTTACATTACATGTTTGTATCGTGTGTGTGTGTGTGGGTGTGTGGGTGTGTGGGTGTGTGTGTGTGTGGGTGTGTGGTGTGTGGTGTGTGGTGTGTGGTGTGTGGTGTGTGGTGTGTGGTGTGTGGTGTGTGGTGTGTGGTGTGTGGTGTGTGGTGTGTGGTGTGTGGTGTGTGTGTGTGTGTGTGTGTGTGTGTGTGTGTGTGTGTGTGTGTGTGTGTGTGTGTGGTGTGTGGTGTGTGGTGTGTGGTGTGTGGTGTGTGGTGTGTGGTGTGTGGTGTGTGGTGTGTGGTGTGTGGTGTGTGGTGTGTGGTGTGTGGTGTGTGGTGTGTGGTGCGTGGTGTGTGTGCTGTGTGTGGTGTGTGTGTGTGGTGGTGTGTTGGGTGTGGTGTGTGTGTGGTGTTGGTGTGGTGGTGTGTGTGTGTGTGTGTGGTGTGTGGTGTGTGTTTTGTGTGTGGTGGTGTGGTGTGTTGTGTGGGGTGTGTGGGTGTGTGGGTGTGTGGTGGTGTGGGTGTTGGGTGTGTGTGGAGTGGTGTGTGTGTGTGGTGTTGGGTGTGTGGTTTGTGTGGTGGGTGTGTGGGTGTGGGGGTGTGTGTGTGTGTGGTGTGTGGGGTGTGTGGGTGGTGTGCGTGTGTGTGGTGTGTGGGTGTGTGTGTGGTGTTTGGTGTGTGGTGTGTGGTGTGTGGTGTGTGGTGTGTGGTGTGTGTTGTGGGTGTGTGGTGTGTGGTGTTGGGTGTGTGGGTGTGTGGGTGTGTGTGGGTGTGTGGGTGTGGTGGGTGTGTGGGTGTGTGTGTGTGTGGGTGTGTGGGTGTGTGGGTGTGTGGGTGTGTGGGTGTGTGGGTGTGTGGGTGTGTGGGTGTGTGGGTGTGTGGGTGTGTGGGTGTGTGGGTGTGTGGGTGTGTGGGTGTGTGGGTGTGTGGGTGTGTGGGTGTGTGGGTGTGTGGGTGTGTGTGGGTGTGTGGGTGTGTGGGTGTGTGGGTGTGTGGGTGTGTGGGTGTGTGGGTGTGTGGGTGTGTGGGTGTGTGGGTGTGTGTGTGTGTGTGTGTGTGTGTGTGTGTGTGTGTGTGTTCTGCATCGCACGTTAAGATTGGGCGCTGGGTGGTTTGCACTGCTTGTCTGCAGCGTTGTTTTGCCGTGTCGTTCTGCCGGCCCTGGGGCGCTGTCATCGCCGTGGGGGGGCGGATGCCCCCCCGTTTCAGCGTCAGGACGAGCGTGCGAATTTGTATACAGTTCCTCGGGCCACTTGGTGGTTTCATGGGGCCGTTTGGGAGCTGCTTGGAAGCCTCTTGGAGGCTTCTTGGAGGCCCCTGGGGCCTCTTGGGGCCCGTTTGGGTGCCTTTTCGGGGCCTCTGACAGCCTTGTGGGGGGCCTCATGGTCCGTCGTTTGGCCCTCTTGAGACCCTCTCGGGTCGCCTAGCGGCCCTCTGACCGTCTTGGGATTATCTTGGGCCCCGCTCGGCCGTCTGGGAGTATGGGAGGGCTGCCTCAGGAGCCCCTCGTAGCCTTATTGTGTTTTCTCGTGGTCCGCTCGGGCTGTCTTGGGGCCCGCTTGCGGCTGCCCTTAGTTGTTTGAGGGAGCTTCTTTGGGCCGTCATTTGGCTCTTCTGGCCTCTCTTTCGCTTCTCTGAGGCACTCTTGGAACCATCCTGAACCAAAAGGCCGCGGGCAGTGAAGCACATTTCCGGGCCAGCTTTGAGGCCTTCTCTGTTTGTCCCTTGCCATCGTCTGGAGGACCATGTGGCTCTTCCTGGGGTCGTGTTTTGGGGGCCTTTGCGGGTACCCTTTGAGGCAATGTTGGGCCATCTTGGCGCCATCGGTGGGCTCCCCGGCTTCCCGGACCTTCCTGGAGGGTCTGGAGACTTCTGGAGGAGGAGGAGGAGGAGGAGGAGGAGGAGGAGGAGGGGGAGGAGGAGGAGGAGGAGGAGGGAGGAGGAGGAGTCCGAGGGACGCGCGGGGGCCGCCAGGAACGCTCGGGATCGGGGGGGCGACGTGTGCAGTGCGCAGCGCTGGGAGAGAAGGGGGAGGGGTGTGGCTTTAGAATGCTCACGGAAGCCCTACCAGACAGCGCTTGGCATTCGACCACCTCCTCCTCCTCCTCCTCCTCCTCCTCCTCCTCCTCCTCCTCCTCCTCCTCCTCCTCCTCCTCCTCCTCCCCCCCTGGGCGCACGGTGGCGGACAGAGGATGGCAGAGGTGGTCGGAGAAGAAGGAAGAGCAGCAGCGGCGGGAAGATGGATGAGGGGAGGAAGGAAGGAGGAGCTCGGGAAGGGGATGGGTCAAGCAGAAAGGAAGGGAGCAGAAGGACGAAGCAGACGCGGGACGGAGATACTGGAAGACCCAGTGCTTGGAAGGTCACCGTGACGAACTGGGAGGGGGACAATCAGATCATCGAGGCCTTGCTGTGATTCCCTTTCTCGGATATCCATCCGGCCTGCTCACAGGCTGCATGCTCATGCGAGGGGAGAGGCCCCGACCCGGGAAGTTATGCAATAGCGTGGCGGGCGCTCTTGTCTTGGCTTGAATTTCCGCTCTCACGGATCGACCTGGCTCGAGAAGTGCTGGGCATCGCGTAAAGGGGGGGCGAGACATAGGGGGGGGGGCCAGCGAGGGCTGCAGCCACGGGCCCCTCTTGGGGCCCCGAACGTAGGGCTAAAAGGGGCCCTCCAGGACGCCGAAGGGGGCCTTCCGGGCCCGAAGAGTGCACCTCTCTCCCCCCTCCGATTGATCGCCCCCCCGCCCCCCCCATCCAGCGACGCCCAGAAGTGCGGCGCACAGACGGTGAGGGCGAACTCCGGGCGTGGCCTGCCTCGCGACGGCGCACGGCCTGCCTCCCCACGGCCCCCGCAGGTGCTCCCGGGGGAGGGAGGGCCAGAGAGGACCCGGAACTAACCAGCCTCGAACGTATCGGGAGCCTCGAGACGGGGGTCAACGCAAACGGGGGTCAGCCAGGGCACCAGATGCTGCAGGATCCTGCGAAGACCCCCTCTGGCTGACCCGGGTTAGGGAGCCGCTCGTGGCCGCGAGGCGTTTTTTTCCTGCATTGCAGTTTTTGGTTTCCTGCTGACCCGGGTCTGGATTGACCCCGGTCAGAAGATCCCCGAACGTATCCCTGTCCCTAAGATGGTTTCCTGCATTGCAGTTTTTGGTTTCCTGCTGACCCGGGTCTGGATTGACCCGGGTCAGAAGATCCCCGAACGTATCCCTGTCCCTAAGATGGGCGAGCAAAAAGCGAGGAGAATCGTTGGGATAGGCCCTCGAAAACTGCGGGAATCCTTTTAAGGTCGGCATCGAGGCGAGGTGGTGTCAAACATAGGGATAGGGACACGTTCCAGGCTGGTAAGGAACGGCCCGGTGCGCACACGTGCGGCCCGGGGGGACGGGGTGGCGACGGGGCCCGGGCCGGACGACAGGCCCTCGGGAGGACAGGGCCCCCCTAACCTGACGTCGGGCCTGTCCCTCTACAGGGGGAATATTTAAAGATAATATGTTTTTTTTTATCTGGGGGCTATTTTTTGAGTAGCGTTTGATTTTTTAACTTCTCGTCACATTTCCCCCTGTAGGGGGACAGGCCCGACATAAGCGGAACCCTGAGGACACGATGAGAGCGTATCTCATTGAGGCCTCCGTCCTTGTACTAGGGGTAGCGATGATGGGTGGGCGTGGTACTTCTGCAGGGAAGGCCCCGGCCCTCTAGGCCCTCGCGGGGCGCGGAGGTCCAGGCCTCCAAAATGGGGTCGAAGCAGATGGGGTCGGAGGATCGCGCCGCATCGCCGGTGCATCGCCGCTGCATCGGCCATGCGGCTCGATGTCGAGCCCGATTTTCTCCACGCCGGCGGCGCCGATGCATCGCCGACGGCGCCGATGCATCGGCAGAAAGCGGCGCGATCCCCCGACCCCTATCTAGTCGGACCCATCCAGGAGGCCTCTCGGGAGTCCGAGGGGGTGCCCAGTCGGTGTCCCGCTGCCGTCCTGCGAGGGCGGCAGCAGCAACGGGGGAGGCACTACATGTCGCCCCCAGGGGCGCGAAGATACTCGTGCTTCGCGCATCGCGGCTTGGCTTGGAGACGCGCCCGTCTCCGCGGCAGCGGCGGCGCGGGGGCGCGAAGGTAACCGCGCGTCGCGAGTCGCAGGCCGTGACGCGCGAAGTTAAGTGATCCTACGATCACGGGGGGCCCCGCCGCGTATGGTTTTCTGCGGCGGCCCTCCCGCCTCCGAACGCGCACTGGGCCGCGCCCCCTCCTGCAGGAGCCCCCCGCAACCGCCCAGGACCCAAAGGCGGGAAGGAGGGCGGAGGGGGAGAGGGAGGAGGAGGGGGCGTGATGGTGGAGGAGGGAGGCAGGGAAGATGAGGAGGAAGGAGGGAGGGAGGAGGTCGGAGGAGTAGGGAGGAGGAGGAGGAGGAGGAGGAGGAGGAGGAGGAGGAGGAGGAGGAGGAGGAGGAGGAGGCAGCAGCAGCAGCAGCAGCAGCAGCAGGACAAGGAGGAGAGCAGGAGCTTTTTTGTTGGGGTGGTCCACGTCCCAGCCGCCTCCAAAGGACAGAGTGCCGAAACGCCTGCGGCAACGGAGAGGGGAGGTCATGAGAAGAGGAGGAGGAGGAGGAGGAGGAGGAGGAGGAGGAAGAGGAGGAGGAGGAGGAGGAGGAGGAGGAGGAGGAGGAGGAGGAGGAGGAGGAGGAGGAGGAGGAGGAGGAGGGAGGAGGAAGAGGCAGGAGGAGGTGGGAGGAGGAGGATGAGGTGGAGGAGGGAGGAGGAGGAGGAGGAGGCGGAGGCGGAGGCGGAGGCGGAGGCGGAGGCGGAGGCGGAGGCGGAGACGGAGGAGGCGGAGGAGGAGGAGGCGGAGGAGGAGGAGGAGGAGGAGGAGGGCTGATGGATGACATGGGAGGGACGTGGTCCCTCCGACCTTGTCCTCTCCAGAATAAGGAGTTGATTACCCTCCTCCGCCGCCTACGCCATGGTACTGAGTTCCTGCGTTCCTGAGGCGCCAGTCCAGCCAGCCTCATCGTCCTGCTCCTCGTCCTCCGCCCCTGTTCCTTAATCCCTTGTCCTTATGAGGCACTCCTCCCTGTCGCACCCCCAGACGTGTCGGTTGGGCAGGCCAGGCGTATCGTCCGAGACAGCTTCACCATCAATGGTTCTGAGCTTTGAGATTCTACCAGCTTCAATGATGGAGGGCGGGCCATTTTCAGAATGTGGCTCGCGCCTTAACGCCGCGCACATTCTTCGTAAAAGTTCGCAGCAGCTTCAAGGATGGAGGGCGGGCTCTTTTCAAACTGTACCCTTCGCGTTAGAGCCGCGCACCTTGGCGTTAAACGTTTGCAGTAGTTTCCCAGGTAGGGGGGCGGCCCAATGTCAAATGTGACTCTCCGCTCAGCGCCGCGCACATTCGTGCTAAAAGAATACAAGAGCTTGAAAGATAGAGGGCGGACCGTTCTTTCAACGTGGCTCTCTCCGTAGCGCCGCGCACATTCATTCCAAAAGCTTGCACGAGCCGCAAGGATGTGATTAGTGAGGCTCCTTATCAACATGCGTCTCTCTCCTGAGATCCGCGCACAATGGCCCTGATCGTCTGCAGCAGTTTTGAGGATTCGTCCCAGGACTGGTGCCCTGGAACGGTTCAGGATTGCCAGGACGCAGCAGACACGTTGATGCGCAGTGTTTAAATCCCAGGTGCGGTGTTCTGGCAGGACATGGGGCTGTTTGGGCGCAGCAGTCACTTTGATTCGGTGCGTTGAAGTCACATGAGTCGTGTGTTCACACGGTTTGGCACGATTCGATACTATCAGACGCTTGTCTTCCAATCGGGCCGTTCTCGCCATGAAAATGGATTCTTGTGGGGGCCAGGATGGGGGGAACTTGGAGGGAGGGTTTATTGAAACGCCGCAGGTTCGTGTTAGGTTTACAATGGTCCTCCTCATCATCTTCCTCCTCCTTCCCATTAGGGCATGATGGGGAGGAGGGAGGGAAGATGGAGGGACGTGACGAAAATTGACAGAGCGGCGGCGGATGAAGACGGGGAGGAGAGGAGAGGAGGAGGAGGAGGAGGAGGAGGAGGAGGAGGAGGAGAAGAAAAAAAGAGGGCTCCAGAGGTGCGTGACAGGGGCACTCGGTGCCATGGGCCCCAGGATGCTGCAAGATCGTCGTCCTCCTCCTCTTCCTCCTCCTTCTCCTCCTCCTCCTCCTCCTCCTCCTCCTCCTTCTCCTCCTCCTCCTCCTCCCCCTCCAGCTTCTCGTGTTCACCTCCTCCTCGTCATCAGTCCTCCTCTCCTGCGTAGCTGCGCCGTGCTTCTCATCCTATTCCTGTCCGTCTCACGTCCTGCCCTCCATTCCCGTCATGTGTCATTGCTAAGGTTAAGTGCCGCACAACGTATGACAACAGGTCTCTGAAAAGGTTACCTGCGCCTGCTCGGGGGGGAATGAACAGCGCAACGTCTGTCTCTCTTCCTGGTTGGAGGACACCGAGGTCCTGCCACAGCGCTCGGGCTCCCACTTGCCCCATTTTGGGGAAACCGGGAAATCTTAGTTTCGGAGTGTGCGTTTGGTCCGTTGTATCCCGAGGGCGTATCAGTGGCCGTGGTGCCGCTCGGGCGGGGCGTCCAAGCGAGATGCTTCAGCACACCTTATACCAACCTCGGAACGGAGGATCATCAGAGTTGCGTAACACCGTCATGGCGCCTCTCAAGAAAGGCCCTCATCACATACAGGAGTAGTACTCCTCTTCCGCCTCAACCTCCTCCTCCTCCTCCCTCCTCCCTCCTCCTCCTCCTCCTCCTCCTCCTCCTCATCATCATCAGCAGCAGCAGCATCAGCATCATCATCATCATCATCATCATCATCAGCAGCAGCATCACCATCACCATCACCATCACCATCACCATCACCATCACCATCATCATCATCATCGTCATCATCATCATCATCATCATCATCATCATCATCATCATCATCATTATCATTATCATCATCATCATCATCATCATCATCATCTTCATCATCATCAGCAGCAGCATCATCACCATCATCATCATCATCATCATCATCATCCTTGTCGTCCTCCTCCTCATCTACATGCTCTGTCCTCCTCCTCCTCCTGCATCGATGCCTCCTGCATCCGTCCTGTCTCCCACCTGCCTCCACCCTGCCTTCCTGCTCCGCCCTCCTCCTCTTCCTCCTCCTCCTCCTCCTCCTCCGCCTCCTCCTCCTCCTCCTCCTCCTCCTCCTCCTCCTCCTCCTCTCTCCGTAGCCATTTTGGCTCAAGTTCCCAACGTCGCTCCCGCGCTGGGAGCTTGTGTGCAGCCGAGGGAGCGGCTCGAGGCTCCTTGCTTTCCGCCCCACAGGGGGGCACCTGTGAGCTCCTGGAGGAGCAAGCCCACGTCCTGCAGTGCATGCAATGGCGCA